TAATGCTGAATAAGAGATTACTCAGGCTCTGTTTAGGACTTTTAGAAAGGGTATATTCTAATGTACCAATAAGTATTACAGCATTTATCTGAATGTTCATAATTAATTGACTACACACAGAAGTTGATTCCAATTTAAATTTTTTCGTTTTAAAATCGCACGACAGCCAACAATCCAGTTTACGTTGTGACGTTGATAATATAGTCTCCCAAGATTGCGCCAATATTGGAACCCATTGATCATCAGATTTTTGTGCCCATATTTCATTAGAATAGTAATCGTCCAATATCGGACCATACAGGGACAGTTTGATGGGGTAACATGCTTCATAAAATTCGATATCTTCAAAATAGAAAATATAATTATATAAATCATCTCTTTTCTCAACAAAAGTGTATCTTTAACAATATCTTATCTATTCAAATATTTTTTACTTATATATTGTTTTGGTATTTCGGTCACGATATCACTCCGTGGTATGGCATCAAATGGTGTGTGCTTTAATGATCCGTAAGTTCTCTGTATCAAAAAAATAAGCCAGAAGAATGTTAAGTACAAAATCTTGCATAAAGTTAAATTGCGATTTATACAATAAGACGATGACAGCGATACAGAAAGGAAATGCACATGTATCATACTAAATACCTCTTTAAAATCTTCATGTTTTGTTACTTTGGTAGGTGGCTCAGTTATTTTATAATTAACAAATGTGGTATCAGAATTGTACTCATTTGGGATACAATAATTAATATTTACAAATTGGTAAATAAATTCAACATTATCTGTTTTATCCACGGTTACTCTGTTTACATAGGAATAATTAATATTATCTTTAAAATGTAAAGGTTGAATATGATAACACGTCGTCATTGTCTCACTCTGAAAAAAAAAAAATAAAAAACAAAAAATAATATTTAATAAGAATAAACGGCCAAAGACGAGCAATTAAATGCCAAGTAAAAATTATTTTATCAATTAATTCTCAAACATAAAACCATAAACAAAGTTATAGTTTCATCCTCACTAGGATTTTTTCAATCGTAATCTAATCGGTAAAAATTGCACATTGTATAATCAGTATACTGCAATATATCGTTCTCAATAAAACAAATTAGACGGAACCGCATCAATAATCAAATAAACATAGTCAAACATTAAATAAGATTTCACCAAGTACGGAGTCACACGTGCTGAACGCGGATCGTGCAATACAGAGAGCAATTAAAAACTTGCACGATCTCTATCGTATTACAATTGTATATATAAAGTAGCCACGTTTTCCAGTCCGTAATTACTTATGAAATTATTTCCGTCAAGTAACATCCAATAATTAAATTTACTAAAATTTATTATGTGTTATGAGGAATATTCCACAGCTATTTTGAATATTCCCTCTGCTGTGATTTTATCGACAATATCAGAAAATGGACGTAGCCAATAGTATAGCACGCGAATTAAAAATGGATGTCCTGACAAAAGTCTACTTAAGGCCTCATGATAAAAGCTAGAATGGCCGCTCTTAAGTTTCTCTCTGGTAACGTTCACATTTCGCAAAATTATTTATCGCCATTACCTCGATCCCTCATATGTACGTTACATTAAACTGAGCATTTTACTTTCCACTTTTATGCTTTTTACCCTCATATAATATTATGCTCCCAACTACCTTCATAATGCATGTTATCGGTCTCAAAGATGCTTTGATAACGTTAATTATAAATAATTTATGAAAACTTTTCATCAAAATACACAAATTCAATGTCAATATGTTCAAAGGTGAGTGTATACAGGAACTGCCAAAAATTCAGAGCCACTTAAATAATTTCTAATCGTGATATTGGATTGAAATTTATAGGGTTAATGGCAAAATGTATAATCTACTCGTATCATTTAAACGCCAACTTCAATTTTCCCTATAGGGGGGTGGGCAGGTGGGGAGAGGGGCTGAAAATCTTAAATGCATACGAAGTCGAGTGAGGGCTCGTTTGAAAAGGCTTTCCGAAACGAGAAGAATGCGAGATCTCGTTGAGATCTCTATCATTTTTTTCGCAGAATTATGCTCATTTAAATATTGCGGTGCTTCTTTTGGTACTAGCGAGGTCCACGGCGAGAACGTGAGAAAGATAAAACTTTGCGCATGTTCCTGAGTGGATGGAAATGCATGTGGAAGTGTGTGTGTGTGCGCGCGTGTGTGTGTTGTGTGAGGAATTTGCGTGAAGCCTTATTTTTCTCGCGTCCTCGCCGTGGGCCTCGCTAGCGTTAAATAACACCAATGTTCAAATAAGCATAACTTTGTAAAAAAAATCGTAGAATCTCAACAATCTCGCGTTCTTCTCGTCTCGAAAAGTCCTTTCACACGAGCACTTACTTGATTCCACATACCATTTAAGATTTTCATTACACCTCACCCCCTGCTCCCCTCGGAGGATTGAAGTGGGCGTTTTCAAGATTAAATGTTAGATTACATTTTGTCATTGTAACCCTATAAATTTCTATCCAATATCTCGAACCGTTTAGAAATTATTTACGATTAAGAATCACTTCTATGTCGCTTTGCCTGAAACTTCCTATGTATACTGTGATCAAAACTGATTATAAATATGCTGACCTTTACACATCTTTCAATATATGTTCAATATGCAGTATCTAAATGCGCAAATTCGAGTAATTTGATAGCTCAACTTTAAACATTTCTTATATATATATTTAGATGGCATTGTTATCTACGCGTTTGCTATGTGATTGCCACGTGTTCGACGTTTTTACGACAAGATTCCATATATTCATTCAAATTCTTATCATTTAATTCTCATTTAAATTCTTGTAGCATAATTAACTGATTTCATTAAGAAACAAATATTTACCTTGTTTTTATTACTAAAATGTATGCGTGTGAGTTGTGTCTGTGTGCGTAATTCAATTAAATATAAAATCTTTACAGACGAACAAAATGTTCTATTCACTTTGATAGCCACTGAACAAATGGAATGAGATTCTGAAGAGCAAATAAATAAAGGTCCATCTACAATGAAAATAGTAAATCGTCATAAGCCGTAAGAAATTGAACAATCAGAATCGAATATGACAAGAATAATCGATTGTGATTGGTCAATTTCTTACGGCTTACTGCTTACTACTTTCATTGTAGATGGACCTTAAGATTTTCGCTCGGGCAACTAGTACATGTTGAATACACTGTATTCGACTGTAATTCTTTTCTGAAATCTCCGATATTTCTCTAGTAAATATTCAATCGTATGACATCGTGTCTGTACACGTGTTAAGAGAATATTCTAGCGTGAACGTCCGTTTTTAAGGTGATTTTTGAGAATTAATTTTATAAAAACGGTTGAATCTATAGATGTAATGTTTTGTTTTTACATTTATACATATTTTGAACTAACATCTCAAATTTTTTTAACGCTTTTTATTGAGAATTACACACGGTACAAATGGACGCAGATCATGTTTTGAAATTTCTCTTCTATCGGGCGTAATGATTGCGGCCGTCCTCGTCATCTCAAATAAACGAGTTTTTTTTATTTTATTCCTTACAAATGTGGTTATCGTTTGAGCCTCTAGTAAATCATTTGAAGAAAATTACTATTTTTCCGGTCCGGAAAAAATAGTAATTTTCAAGAGATCAAAAAGTTGGAGGGTCGAGTGATAGCCTAATGTGTACACTATATATGTGTGCAAAAGCACAAGTCAATCGGCCCAGTAGTTTGTGAGAAAAATACACGATTTGAAAAATGTCGTTTCGAGAAAAACGCATTTAATAAGTTTCTCATGCAATTACAAGGTGGATAATGAATATAATTTCAGTAACTTACCCTTAGTCAGCTATACCAGGACCGTACAGGATACCTTTCTCAGCTATATATAGCACTATTTGGCTACGAAAAGAAATACTACCTGACACGCAAAAAATCCCTCTACTGCATGGAAATCACGGGCGACGAGTCGCATGGACGCACGCGGGAGCTATGTCTTTAAACCTCTATAGCTCAATTTGACGAATTTCATCTTAATATTTTAAAGACACATTTTCAAGACTATAAACTATAAGAATATGCAAAAAAAAATCGATTTTTTTAACCGGTCACACTAGAATACCTATTGCGTCGTGGTGGAAGCGAAAGCGGACGGTTGGATCGACAGATTGAGAGACGATTGAGCGAATAGACTTTTATTTCGACAATTACAAAAAAAACTAACAAAAAAAACGGAAGTACACAATAATTATTGTCGTAATCGCAAGTTCGCGGCGAACGAACGGCAAGGTGACGGTGCGACGGAGCAACGCGAGCGATCGAAACCGAGAAAAACGAGAGCCTTTCTGAGAAAAAACTGAGAAAAAAACTGACGAGCCTTCGAGCGGGGCTCTGTTATTTATACTCGAGGCATGTTGTTGTCGAACATTTTTTGGTCGTGACAATGCCAAAAAATAAGCGCGCCGGATTGCACACCGTCATCGGGTCGCACGTGATCGTGGGGTGCCGGGCAGTCAGCTGATGTCACGAAACGTCGGTCGCCGATCAGCTGTACTCCCGGAAGCCCTTGCTCCGTCCCGGCTATTTACGCATTCTTTTTATGATCGTGTTTTTTAACGCAATGACGGCCACTCAGCTGAGCGGTCAAAGCGTGACTTTATCGCGACTTTGGTGACATGCCTGATTTGGCGGTTTCGCACAATACCCTCTTAAGACTTCTGCACACTGGACGCGGAAATGCTTGCCGCGCGGCAAGTATGCATACCGCATCCAGTGTGCAGGAGCTCTTATTCTTATTAGACATAGATCTTGATAGATTGGCCTAGTTTACACCGAGCAATTGATACGCGTACTAACTAGAAACTTTCTATTAAACTATAAATAATGGACGATGTTATTGGGTGTCAAAAAAGCTTTCAATTCTATTTGACAGGAAAGTTTATTATTTAAATTACATCTTATGCGGCTGTCTACTTATGTAATTAAGATTATTTGCAGTTATTTATGTAACAAGGTTTTCGCAAATTTTCATGGTAAATTATCAGTGTTTCTTGACGCTCCTTCCGATGTGCCTCAAGGTTCTATCCTTGGTCCTTCACTGTTCAATATGCCTTCACACCGACGAGATACTCAGCAAAAGACTTGTTATTAAAATGCTTCACAACAATTTATTTTGCATTCTTTGCAATCGACCTAGGTGCGTATTCTAGCAGCTACTGCCCAAACAAGGGCTGCATCTAGCACACATTTTATATAGTAACAGTTCAAATTTTAAATGTAAAGAGCTTTTACGGTGAATCAATGAATATATGGCATAATCTCTATGAGTTTTATTAATTCGGTCGGTTATTGTTGGACTCCATCGAAGCGAAGAGTCAAAGATATGTCTCCGCGCGAGATATGTATCGTACCAGACGACCATGGAGACCATGGCGACCATGGAACATAATCCAATACCCTTATCAACGGAGGATCGCGAATGCACTTGCGAGTAAATTATAATGGTTTTGAGTTTTATTTAAGGTAATAGCCTTCTTTTAGTCCGTAAAAAACTGGAGGATGACATTAACATGGTTTTGGAGTATTTCTACGAGATGTTAAAGACCGTTAGCCTGGATAAATTTTCGTACCGGTTATAAGGTCCGGAGGCTTCGGAGGTAATTGCAGAGTATCGATGTTAATCGACTTTTGACATAAATTTGCGATTATTAACATAAATATTTAAATAATACATTAAAATCATGATTTTTATTATATAAATACTTTATAAATAAATACGAATACTTATAAGGCTGTAATATCATATATTGCCGCAAAATTACAGTTTTTTTCTATTATTACCATCTCTCTGGATAATCAAACACGGATAGTAACTATATATATCCATACAAAATTACCTTTAAAAAAAAAAGGTAAAAAACGCCAAGTATACGCGTCCTCTGTACAAATGTTTCACTATAAAAAATTAGCGCCAAAAATTTACAGTTGTCAGTAAAATAAAATAATTAAAAAAAAATTTAGTGATATGTAGAAAAAATACATATTATAAAATAATTTTGTAAAATATATATTACTTGTACAAAAGATTTGATATCAATAACTGCCAAATTACAATTTCATAAAAAAAATTTATAAAAGTGAAGATTTAAAAAAAATACGTTCTAACTGATATTGTATCTTTGTATTCTTGTTGGTCTTTCCATTCCAACCCAAGTGATAGCAGTTTTAATTTTTCGCAAATGTGTTATCTCACTCAATCCAAGTGATAAGTAATCTTTATACCTATTAACTCTTTCTATTTTAACCCAATGGTAATTGTTATTTAATTTTTTAAAATATTATTATATTACAAAATCGTATTACTTTACTCAACTCAATTCAAATATAATATTATTACAAAAAATTAAAAAAATAATAGAATAAAATGAGAAAAAAATTTAATTAAAAAGAAAATTTATGTAAAAAACACCTGCGGCTTCACGACTTTTTACGTTTAACTTCCAATTATAGAGAGTTAGTTCCTTACCTTCGTGATTCTTTCAAATAATGAGACAAATATATTCTATTAATAACAGTATTGAATAAAGTATAATTTAGTTTTTTATAATTTTTTAATTATTATACTTATATTTATGCCTATTCCGTTGACACATATTTCCACATATACCCAGTGAGAAATGGTTTTCAATTCGACGTCGAATCGACGTCAATTCGACATCGATTTGATATCGAATTGGCGATCATTTCTCATTGGGTAGTTTGTTAATAACTTTTTAACAAATAACGAGCGACGGCTAAAACCATCTACTCACTTGGGGTTATGACTTTGACAATATATGTAAAGGTCAAGGTCATTGAAGCAGCCTCCCTTTATCGGTATATTTACCATAAAAAATTCGGATTAATGTTATCCTTCCTAGCAGATCGGATTTAGACGGATTATATCGATTTTATTGAATCAGTGTTTTTGTAACTAAAATGGTCTTATTGTTAGCTGTTAAAGAAATATATATGATTTAAGCGGATTATTTTGGATTATATATCCATCCGATTATTCGGGTTTATTTGGATTGACAACGATGTGGATTAGAATGTAATGATTTCATATTGGAATTAATAATCCGCGAAAGTAATATTAAAACCGATTACTTATTATTAAATGCGGATTGAACTTATTAGAACCAATTAAAATCGATTGAAACGGATTATTATCTTTTTATCGGTTTTTATCGAATATTTTCAGCAGGGTTCTCGACCATGAAAATTCGCAAACGCACGAGGCGCCCGGGGTCCAAGCTCTTGCTTGGCCTTGGCTGAATATTCGTGGCCGTCCAAACACGCGTTGCGCAGTACTTCGAATCAAGGGGAACAAGTATTCTATACCGCTTTTCCGAGATTCTCTGGTACATGATTCCAACTTCATCCACCGTTTCCCGCAATGACTGATATATCTCCGGGGATTAAAAGCTTTCTCTACCGGCCGTCGAAAATGCTCGACAATCGGCCGTCTTCCGTTCCAGATTATTCTCCCGCCGTATTTTCAAACGGCCAATATATGTACATACCGCACGTTCAAATATTCGAATGGCCATTTTGTCGCACGGCGTGCAACAGCACCCGCGACAGGCGTGCGATTCCGCCCGATTAATGTTAATTAATTTGGCGCCGCACTGATTTACCGAAATCACGCGTTACTAATCCCGCATGCGTATAATAAAGTCGCGAAGCCGACAACTTAAACCGATAACGAAACGTTACATTTACGTGTGTAATAAAATATTCGTGTAGGCTACCGAACGCGTAACATACCCAGATAATCAAGCAGGATT